CTCAAGTGAATGCAAAAAAGCACTCAGAAATTGTGGTGATGGGAGAAGAAGGGGGTGTATTACACGTTTTATTACATGGGATATTTTCTAATCAATTTCTACCATTTCTCTTTTCATACCCCATTTTTTTTTTTTTTTTGAGACAGTCTTACTGTGTCACCCTGGGTAGAGTGCGGTGGTGTTCTAGCTCATAGCAACTTCAGATTCTTTGGTTCAAGTGACTCTTGCCTCAGCTTCCTGAGTAGCTGGGATTACAGGCACGTGTCACAATATCTGGCTAGTTTTTCTGTTTTTAGTAGAGACAGGGTCTTGCTCTTGCTCAGCCTGGTCTTGAGATCTGGAGCTCGGGGGATCCATTCACCTCAGCCTCCTGGAGTCCTAGGATTACAGGTGTGAACCCCCATGCCTGACAGCATCTTTCCATTTCTGAATTATGTTTTAAACAACGTAGATTTAAGGAGTACGTGTGCAGATTTGTTAAATGGATATATTGCCTCGTGGTGAAATCTGGGCTTTTTGCAAACTCCTTCCCTGATTAATGCACTTGGTACCTACTAGGTAACTTCTCACCCCTTGCCCCTCTCCACCCTTTGGAGTGGGCAGTGTCTGGCACCCACTCTCCGTGCCCATGGGTACCCACTATGTAGCTCATAAGATAAGAGCATGTGTATTTGACAGGCTGCTTTAGGTCCCAGCTTTGAACCCACAAAAGGTGGTCTGTCCTCCCTGTGAATACTTACCACCTACTTGTCATGGCTGCTTCTCTTGTCCCATGGGGCATATCCAGCCCATGAGTTTGCCCCTCAAGAACCAAGTCAAGCTGTGTATGCTGAGAGACGCCTGGCCATCTCCTGACGAACAGTCCTGACACATTATCTGTAGGAAAATGTCCACCGAAGCCCGAGGCCCACAGCTGCAGGAACACCGAGAGGCTGAATGCGGGGCAGCTGCTGGCTGTGCTATGCAAGGTTCAGCTTCCAACAGGGCAGGACCAGCACGTTGGCGAATCCTCTTCCCTGAAATCAAAGGTAAAATGGACAAAATTGTCAACAGCAGCCATTCTGGGCATCTGGAAACCGAACAAAGGCAAAGAGCAAACTGAGAAGCATTTTTTAAAGAAAACTTGCTGTATTTTGGTCGGAAGAGTGGACGTCTGTGGCATTCTCACACAGGGCTGCTTCCATCTCCATCTCAGCTGAGGCTGTGCAAAGATCCTAGCAGGGCGAGGCAGGCTGAAAACACCTGCGGTTTTACCGCTGGAGGAAATTGACTTTAGTTTTAGCAGGTGAAAAACTCACTCCTGACCGCATCGCCAGGTGAAGGAATGATCTCAGGGCAAGTGAAGAAAGGAAGGACGTGATTTACTAACCCGAGGTTGCCATCCTGCTTGGGGCATGCGGTGGATGCAGACAAGCCAGAAATTGAGTGGGGAGATGATTTCAACCACAGAGGGGCTTTCTTGGTAAGTTCTCCGCACCCCGCTGGCTGCCTTCTGAGTGTGTGTAGAGAGAGGCCGGCGAGGGCCTGCACTGACCACACTCCTGGCTGACCTGGCTGTGAACTTGTGGAGCAGATGCAGGAGGGGCCTAGACTCCAATGGGCATGTGGGGATCTTACTGGGTCGATGAAAATCTTCTCAAGCTGGATTGTAGGATTGCTAAATTGTACACTCAAAAATGGTGGATTTTTTGTGTGTGTAACTTCCATACCAATAAGGCTGCTCTACAACATTTAAGTGCTAATGTATTACTCTGGGAAATGTTGTTTCCAAAAACCAACTTCTGTCAGTAAAATAATCAACTAAGGCGGCACCTGTGGCTCAAAGGAGTAAGGTGCCAACCCCATATAGAGGTGGTGGGTTCAAACCCAGCCCTGGCCAAAAAAAAAAAAAAAAAAAAAGAAAGAAAAGAAAGGAAAATAATCAACTATTTCTAGTCATAGGTTCTGGTTATCTACAATTATTTTTTCCATTCT